AGAATAAAGAAAGTCATATTTCTTAAGAAACTTGTCATTACGTTTTCTTTATTTCAATAAATTTGTATTATTTGTAATTTAATTTAAAAAAAGAAAAAATTATTGCGTATAATATAATTTCATAAAAAATAGTAGAAATTTTATAGATCCACACTCAGGAATCTTTTTTAAATAAAAATCTTAATTAATTCTCCAATCATATCTTTTTCATATACAGTTAAAAATATATTTTTTTGTGCATGGTACACATAATTTTATGTACAGTATGAAATTAAATATAAGTACGGGCTATTTATTTATATACGTACTAATCGTTCTACAGTTAATATAACTGTATGATCACAAATATGTAAAGATGTTGCCGCGATGTACATTAAAATGTAATTGAAATAAATAATGTTCTTGTGAAATTTTCGATTTATTCTTTCTGTCAATTTCTTCAAAATACACTTGATAAAGTTATATCTCTCTTAAAACCATTTCAAGTTTTTAATATAATGTATGTATGTATAAATATATGTATGGTATGATGTGCGCGCGCACACGCGGCATATATACATACATACATACATACATATACACAGCCAAAATATGTACAATATGATTTATATAAAAAGGTATACAGCGATAAAAATATTTGTACAATGTTCGATTTCAAATATAATTTACAACGAACATATGTCAATACTGTTATAATTCTATTTCTTGATTTGGTGGTAAAAGATTACCAATCAATTGAAAAGATTCAGGATGTTTTTCGATTCTCAAATATAATAAACTAAAAACATTTATTACCTGAAAAATATTAAAAAATATCATTTATGTTTTTCATATATCTTCTACAAATTTGAATTTATCTAAGTAAAAGGATTTACACAATATAAGTGTATAGTTTTATATTATACCTGAGTAACAGCAGGTTTTTTCCAAAAAATGCTTATTGTAGGAACAGAATACTCCGAAGAATATTCAATAACTGCTAATTTTTCTAATTGTGTGATGGAAACTCTTAATTTTATACCAAGTTGACACAATATAACGTTTATAAAATTTTCATTTACATTCAATACAATACCCATTGTAACAATAGGACCTTTTAAATCTATCAAATATGTAAAGTATAATTCACTACTTCGTTCTTGAGCCATTTTTGCGCTATACTTTTTTATATTACAATTTGCTGCAATTCTATCTTGACAAAAAAGACATGCAAATATTAAAGATGTATCACTTGCATTAATTAACCCTTTCGCTACTACAGGCGACTATAGTCGCTCTGCACAAGATGCCACTGAGGTATTACGGGCAATTATAGTCGCTCTGCATAAGAAGCCATGTATCATATGATATGACGAATTGACGATATGACAATTGAAGTTATTGCACATCGAGTATCTTTTTCTGGAAATGTAACATCAATATTTTGTTTTTATCATCAATTTTTTTTTCAATAAACACCATCAAAACAACGATCTTTTTCGAGCATTGTGTACATTTTTGGTGCGACGGTTCGTTCAGCGGTAGTGGCGCGGTGGAAAAGTCGCTCGTAGCGAAAGGGTTAATTATTTTATTATTTTCTTAAGTAACTTACGACTTGCACAATTTTTTAGACCATTCCTTGGGCATCTCTACATTCTTCATAGTTGAATAAAGTAAACGATGCACTACACAATCAGAATATCGTCTAATTGGAGAAGTAAAATGGGTATAAAGTGGTACATTTAAAGCGTAATGTCTCAATTCCTCTTCTGCTGTGACAGTTGATGAACATATATACGTTGCTCGCTAAAAATGTAAAGAATTATTGAAATTTTTATAAATAGAATAGTAAGATCTTCATGCAATAATAAGATCAAATAAAAAATCATACAGTCATAGCTTTGGAACAAAGACTATTAATAACCATCATCCTGTATTTCATTGTTATTTTTGTTTCATTGTTTTCATTCTCTAATCCTTGTTCATAACGTCTAATGCTAGCATGTAATGATGCAGACGATTTAATATCTAAATGAATACCAAATCTTTGCAAAGTGTCTTTTGTTACAGTAAGAATATGTTTTGAAGGCTCCCTATGGTTACGTAATAAAGCAGTCTCCGGAATCATAGTATATAATTGTGTAGCAACTGTCATATTAGCTAGTAACATAAATTCTTCTATAAGTCTAAAACATAATATATGTATTTATATATAAATTTATAATTTAATTAATGTATCATAAAAATATTAATATTAAAAATAATACCTGTTACTATCTTTCTGTTCTTCTATATTATATGATATTGGTAAACCCGTAATTCTATCAATCTTAACATATAATTTTGGTTGATCTATTTGTAGTGCACCATTTTGAAATCTTTTTTTACGCATTTGAATAGCCAGATTGTGTAAAATATTTACTTTTATTGATAAATCATTAAAATTAAAATTTCCATTTATACTTAAAAAGTCATCTGGCCAATTATTTTTTGGATTTTCAATAAATTTCTGTGCATGATAATAGGACATTTGACAGCATGATCTTATTACAGTTTTAGCAAAACGATATTTGACAATTTCTGCATTTCGTGTTATTTCCCAAATAACAGAAAAAGCCAATTTATCTTGACCAGGTGATAAAGAACATATTTGACATAATTGTTTTGGTAACATGTGATATACATTATCTGTCATATATATAGTTGTTGCTCGTTTTGAAACCTGAATATCTAATGGAGATAAAAATTCCATATAATGAGTAACATCGGATATATGCACACCAATCTATAAAAAAGAAATAATACATATATGTATAAATAAATAAATAAATAAATATATAAATAGTACACACACGCGCTATGCACGCGCGCGCGCGCATACACACAGAGATAAAGAAATAGACATAGTTGATAAGTAAAAAATAAATTGCATAATTACTTCATAATTTTCATTTTCTAAAATTTTGCAAGAAACTGAATCATCTAAATCAACAGCAGCATCAGGATCAATAGTAAATATGCATTCTTGTCTCCAATCTTCCCTATCTCTTAAGTCATTTTCTGTTAAAATATAATCACTACTTGGAAGTCCTTTTATCACATCAGGACTATAAGGTGTAATATCTAAATCATATTCAAGTAATATTGCATTTGATTCTGTTCTTATGTCACCAATATTTCCAACTATTTTCTCAATTTTCCTGTAAAGAACACAATATATTAATAATAATTAAAAACTTATAATTAAATAGGAATTCTTTAAATTCCTAAACATATATCATACCCAACTGCAAATTTTGGTTTTATCCAATCAGTTATAACAACCAAATATAATGTGTCTTCGTAACTGCTTGGACATACAGCAAATTGTTGCAATGATTCCCTACTTATTTTAACTAATGGCACACGATGATCTCTGGGATAAAAAAATGTAAATGCACCACGTTGTTTAAAACATCCAACTGTTTTTCTTGGATGTATTTTTTCTCGTATACAAACAACAACACCTGTTTTCTGCTTCTGCCCTTGATGGATTTGCCATTTTTCTGGTTGATTTATACATGCTACAACAAAATCACCATCAAAGGCTCGATTTCTATCTCTCAAACCAACAATCAATAGATCATACTGATCATCGGATAAAGATAAATAAGCATATTTATGACACCAGGGATTAATGCGTAAATATCCTTCTACATATTGTGCATCATTGGTATTTTGATTTTTTAAAAGTTTATCAATTTCCTTTTCGGAAATATGTCGTGGAAATGTTTCTTTTTGTTTTGAGGACTTAGATTTTTGACCCTTGATTTCTTTTTCTTTTCTTTCTTCAGAATCTAAATGCACTGATTGTTTATCAGTAGTTTTTCTTATAGAAGATTGTGATATCCCTTTATTTTTATTTTTACTTATCTTATGAGCAAGTTTTTCAGCAAATACAAATTGATTTTGTGTAACAAAGTTTGAGGAAATTGATTCCTCAAAGTTTGACATAATTTTAATTTTGAACTTATTACTCACTTAAATACACACGAAAATTAATCGTGATTTTAATAAACAAAATTTATCATGCATAATTGATATTTTTTAACACTATGAGTGTCAAAAATTATATATTTGAATGTGTATTACAAAGGCATACATATGTGACGATAAAGCACTTAGTACGAAAAGAACTAACAAATTTTGGTTATATTTTAAGAATGTTAACAGGTCGTATACTTCCAACAATAAGATTCCAACGACGAGAAAACAGCATTATTTAATACACATTTAATCTTTGTCAAACAACGTACCATAAACTTAATAAAAATATAAATCCCGACTTGGAATCAAAACAATAGCGTCACTTTTTACTTGATGTTGATTATTTGTAAGATTAAATAAGATTTCAAAATGATACATTTTCAGCGTAGAACATTTATACTTTGTTTGTTAAATATTTTATTCTCAAATCCTTCTTGTTTTTATTTATTTTAATTAGTAAAAAAATATATTTAATTATTATTTTTCCATGTTATTACATTCTTCAATTAAAGCATGTTGTTTACGAGAAACGTATTACCAATTGTACAATGAACAACCATATAGGTTAAAATGTTTCAACGTTTCATTGGTTACTTAAAGTTGACACTAAACAACAGAATCACATAGATAGCTTTTACTTTAAATGTTGGCAGAATTTAATTCACATTTAAGCTAGATCATATAGAATATAGAATCTGGAGTTGGAAGGTATTGAAAGTATTGGATCAGTTGGCATTGGTACATAGGGTGGTGAGTTAGTAGGTAGAGCGATTTAAGTTATATCGTAGACGCGGTGAAAAAGTGAAATAGGAAAGAAGTGCGATTATTGAGGCAGTCGGGTGAGAATTCTGTTAAATTTCAAATCAATATTAAAAAGAATAGATAGAAAAGAGAGAAGAATAAGAAAAGTTAAAATTATAACGTGTAAAAAGTTTTTAAACTAATAGCATTATTAAATTTGGTGCAATTACAATAGTGACAAGGTTACGTTAAAAATGTTTCATGTAAAGCAACTAACGAGATCGTCAATTGCCTTAAAGCAAGTACCAAGCAATGACATTATTCATAATACATTGATACGTATCGTGCCAGCATTTCAAGCACGCGGTTATGCTGATCATCAAATACCCGATCATTTAAAGGATATTCCTAATGATCCGAATCCAAAATTTTTCGATATGGTTGAATACTTTTTTCATCGAGCTTGTCAAATTGTGGAAGATAAATTGGTCGAGGATATTGGCAAACGTTCCAGGATGAGCGTTGAAGAAAGAAAAAAAAAGGTGAAGGGTATTTTAATGTTAATGGAACGATGTGACCACATCCTCGAAACTTCCTTTCCTCTGAGACGCGATTCAGGTGATTATGAAATGATCACTGGTTATCGCGCGCAGCATTCAACTCATAGAACACCTTGTAAAGGAGGTAAATCAAAATATATTTTATTTATTAAATCATTTCATATCTTTATGATAATATTCATAATTAATGATTAATTTCTGGTAATATTTTATAATTATAATTTTAACTATATCAATTGTCGCATTTTCAGTTATTTTATTTATCGTTGTCAATTTTTAAGCAAATATAGAGTTATCACATTATTTATATTTCTATATATTAAACGAAAGGGCAAAAGAGAAAAAAAAATACTCGAACATTTTGTAATATATAATTCTTTTTATGATCATTTAAATTTAATGTTAGCGGGCACATTAATTACGTCATCGATAATAGATGTAACAAATTCGAGAAATCTTTGATTACAAATTTATTAAAATTTTTATTGAATCTTTATCACATTTGATGAAACATAATTTAAAGAAAAAAATAATATATAATAAATAAAATTAATTTAAAAAAGAAAAATAACTTTTAAAATCCTATTTGTGTTTTGCTTTAGTTACTACTACTTTTAAGTATTCAATGTATATTATTAGCTATTTGGAATAGGAAAATTTTACGGCTTCATAAGTTACAATGATGTAGATTTAACCTCGATTCTAGTAGACAGATTATTGAAAGCATGATTAATATTACTAATATTGATATACTATTAGATCATTTTAAAAATGTCTTGTCTTGTTTTTGTTTAACAAATAATTTATTTCTTATTATATACATTATATATTATAACTTATATATATAGTTTCATCAGAAAAATTGTAGCTTTATGACGCACAGACAACGAAGAATGATAGCGTGCCAACTTTTCTCTTCGTTCTCATAGCTTTTGCATTTTTTACTCACGAGGATTATGTTACATCGACGATTAAACACATTGGTGCGTCGATTTACTGTAATGCGATGCCTAGGATATGACAGAATTATGTTAGTATGTATATGTATATCGTAATACATATGTATATCAAATATATAGAATTAATTAAATTTTTTGAACTACAAAAAAGATAAATCACGAAAAGTTCGATTGTATATACATTTCGTTAAGAAAGATATTCGGAGCATGCATATCAAAACAACATCTCCTTGATATAAATTTGTACTCGAGCTCATGCGCGAAACGTAACAGCATCTTGTGAGATAGATCTTTTCTGAGAGCCAAGTAAGCGAACTTAATAATTCTCTGTTGACTATGGTTATTCTTTTTCTATGTATTCTATGTACTATTCGTCGGTATTGGCATTTTCTTTTTAAAACTTATTTAATTTAAATGTTTTTTAATATATGACTTAGTTAGAATTAGAGTTACAATTACTTATATTTTATTTTTTTATTTACACGATAATCATAAAAAAATTCAATAATATAAATTAAAAAATACATATATATTGAACAACATTAGATGCTATCGCATAATGCAGATGTAATGCAATGATGTGATGCCAAGCTGTCTAGTCTTTTTCTTTGTTCCTGCCAAATATTAGCTAACTATCTTGATTCACAATTTAATTTAAAACTTTGGCAATTATAGCCATCATTCTAATGTCATGATGATATCCAAAAGGTCGATGCTCTCATCGAAACAAATCGATACAGTTTTCTTATTCACGTGATCATATATTCATTCAGAATGTTGAACAAAAAATTCATTTTAATTATTCTTTTCAATAATTATATCTTTTTAATATGCTTTTCGTAGCTTTAAGCTTTAAATATAAATATATAATACAGTATCAAATGTTGTTTAAGAAAATAATTAATGATTTCTTTTACAAATAAATATATGAAAATAAATATATGGCGTTTGTTATTATATATAATTATTTTTTTGATTTATTTACATATATGTTAATTATATAAATGTAATTATGTTATTTTTATGTTTTTTATTTTTTTTTCTTTTTATTTTAATAATTAATAATCATAATGATTCATTTTATCTTTCGAAAAATCTCAAGATTTGCAATATTTATAATTTATAAATTATTAAATTATAATATATATTGTACATGTTATTTATAATATATATATACAGTTTATTTATTGCTTCTACTTATTACAGGTATTCGTTTTTCGATGGATGTCTCGCGAGATGAAGTAAAGGCTTTGTCGGCATTAATGACTTTCAAATGTGCCTGTGTAGACGTTCCTTTTGGTGGAGCTAAAGCTGGTATTAAGATTAATCCTAAATTGTATTCAGAACATGAGCTCGAAAAAATTACTAGAAGGTTCACATTAGAGCTTGCAAAGAAAGGATTTATCGGTAAGATATTTTAAAATTTATTTGTTTAAATTTATATCGAAGATAATGAACCGACTGAAGAAATACGCATACTTGAATATATGATTATCAAATTCTTTTATTTTGATTAAATTTATTATAACTTATTACAACGAAATTTTATTTAATGTATCATCATAATGATCATATTGTATAAATATATTTACACATTACAAATATATACGAAATATTTTTATCTCTCGTTCTCAATTAACATTGCAATCGTTTGATATATATATATATATATATATATATACATGTATGAATACATATGTATACATATATTATAAATATTTTATTTAATTATACATAGAATTATTTAAACTAAACTAAATTAAAGAAAAAGAAATTCTACAAATTTGAAAATTAAAAAAAATGGATAATCGTTATATGAATAATTGTTATATGAATATTTATTAATACTACATGATACAATGCATTTATGAATATTCCAAAAATAATTGATAGGAAAAAAGAAAATTAGTATCTTATATTGTATCTTATATCTTATATATAATTCTGGGAGAAAAAAACTTGCAAGTATTTTTGAATTGAAAGGACCTGGTGTCGATGTTCCTGCCCCTGACATGGGAACTGGAGAACGCGAAATGTCTTGGATCGCTGACACATACGCCAAAACTATAGGACATTTGGATATTAACGCTCATGCTTGTGTAACTGGAAAACCTATTAATCAAGGTGGAATTCATGGACGTATTTCTGCGACAGGACGTGGTGTGTTTCACGGACTAGAAAATTTTATCAACGAAGCTAATTATATGAGCATGATTGGTACGAAAACATTTTATAATGCGTTCTATTTCTATTTCTATTTCTGTTTCTATTTCTATTTCTATTTCTATTCCTTAATATCGTACGTTCTTGTATGATTTAAATGTATCTATCAGCTGTTATATGATAACTCATTATCATTTATTTTAAATTATCGACTAACTTTTTACTACAATTAACATTAGGTACAACACCCGGTTGGGGAGGGAAAACATTTATTGTACAAGGTTTTGGTAATGTTGGTCTACATTCGATGCGTTATTTACATCGTGCTGGGGCTGCTTGTATAGGAGTAATCGAACATGATGGTGCTATTTACAATGCTGAAGGTATTGACCCTAAGGTAAGCAATTACATAAAATTTAATGCAGATAAAACGATCTTATAATAATGTAATAACTTTAATGAGATCATTTCACATTAATAAGATTACTTAACGTAAAATTTATACTATAGAAACTGGAAGATTACCGTATAGAGAATGGCACTATTGTAGGCTTCCCTGGTGCTAAACCTTACGAAGGTGAAAATCTTATGTACGAACCTTGTGATATATTCATACCTGCAGCTATCGAGAAAGTTATCAATAAAGATAATGCTTCTCTTATTCAGGTAAATGAATTTTTCATTTAAATAAATATATTTAAAAAATTTACTTGTTTTTTTTTTAAATGATTGTTATTTTTCATTTAGGCAAAAATTATAGCCGAAGCTGCCAACGGACCAACTACTCCAGCTGCCGATAAGATTTTAATCGACCGAAATATTTTAGTTATACCAGATTTATACATTAATGCCGGTGGTGTTACAGTCTCTTTTTTTGAGTGGTTAAAAAATTTGAATCATGTGTCGTATGGTCGTCTAACTTTTAAATACGAAAAAGAATCAAATTATCACTTACTAGGTATGTATATAGTTCATGTACTACATCCATTTGAATAACTTTATCGTATATTTTACAATATAAAATCTTTTTACAATATAAATTTATAGAATCTGTACAAGAATCATTGGAACGTAGATTCGGCCGTGTGGGTGGTCGAATTCCTGTTACACCTTCCGAAGCATTTCAAAAACGCATTTCTGGTGCTTCTGAAAAGGACATAGTTCATTCTGGTTTGGATTACACGATGGAAAGATCTGCAAGGGTAATTGATTATTCTTTCTCGATCGAAAAATAAAAAATGATGTTGTCATTCAAATGTTAATAGTTTTATTTTTATTCTATAACAGGCAATTATGAAAACAGCTATGAAATTTAATCTTGGTTTGGATTTAAGGACAGCAGCTTATGTTAATTCAATTGAAAAAATATTTACTACTTATTCCGAAGCTGGTCTTGCGTTTTAAATAAGTAAAGTATTTATCGACACAAAGCAAATCGCATAAATAGAACTGTAAAAAGTTTCGAGCTAGTATTTTAAAGACATTTTTAATAATCACTCTCAAATGATACTATCCAGTGTCTCTCAGTGATAAAGACCAAAACTATTATAGCAGTGGAAATATTTCGCGTACGTTGTCGCACGCTAAATCTTCTTCGAACGAAAAATAAAAAATGATGTTGTCATTCAAATGTTAATAGTTTTATTTTTATTCTATAACAGGCAATTATGAAAACAGCTATGAAATTTAATCTTGGTTTGGATTTAAGGACAGCAGCTTATGTTAATTCAATTGAAAAAATATTTACTACTTATTCCGAAGCTGGTCTTGCGTTTTAAATAAGTAAAGTATTTATCGACACAAAGCAAATCGCATAAATAGAACTGTAAAAAGTTTCGAGCTAGTATTTTAAAGACATTTTTAATAATCACTCTCAAATGATACTATCCAGTGTCTCTCAGTGATAAAGACCAAAACTATTATAGCAGTGGAAATATTTCGCGTACGTTGTCGCACGCTAAATCTTCTTCGAACACATAATAATAATAATAATAATAATAATAATAAATAAATAATAATAATAATAATAAATAATTAATAATTAATAATAATAATAATAATAATAATAATAGTAGTAGTAGTAATAATAGTAATAATAAATTTGCCTAACAAGTGTTCCATCGTACGGATAATATATTTATGCTTACGTCGATCGCGTTATTCGCATCGCTATAATTGTTATATAGTACAAGTTGCATAAAAAAGTGTTGAATCGATTTACGAAATAACGAATTCAATATGTAAAATGGCGAATTCAGAACAAAGTATTGTAAAACAACATATTTTCCTTTGTAAATTAATTCAACGAAACCAACCAAACAATATAATAACAATATAATATCACATTTTTATACATCACTTTTAATCAATATATCTGAATATTATTTAAAAAGATTGCACGACAGACGCTAAACAAGTGAAAAAGATTTGTAAATTTTAATTCAATTAAATACAGTTATTTTTAAATTATCGCGAGGAATGGTTTATCGAGATTTTATCTCTATAATCAAACCGAAAAACTGCGATATCTCGTATAATAATATGTTTATTATAATATGTTTCCGAAGTATGTTAATAAATATATGATCTTAATTAATATTTTTTCTATTGTTTTGAAACCTTCTTTATTTTATTTGTGACATTATATATTTACGTTACATATTTACTATTTTATTACATGTGAATTTAATCATTGCATTAATATGAATTTTAACTTAATTTTTTTATTATATTATTAATTTGAAGAAACTTAATTTTGAAAAGATCGATTAATTATATGTAAATTTATTTTTTATAATATAATATATTATAAAAATAAAAAAAACGTTTGTTTAGAATTATGATCACAATTTTCCATCTACAAAATTATAATTACTTTTGTTTTCTCTATATTATATTTATATATATATTATGTCTGTCAATAATTTTGTAATTTTTAAAATTCTTATATGTCATCAATTTGATATAGATTATGATCAGATCTTATTTCATATCATTGAATAATTAATCTATTTTATATTGATTATTCAAAGAAAATGCAGAAATTTATTATATTATGTTGTGTTTTTGTTACTCTGAACTTTCATGTAGCTTTGTTTCAATAGTGAAATAAGAAAAAAAAACGCGAATTGCAATTTAATAAATCGATTGGTCAATTATACATTTTCTGTACTACTAGTAAGGGCGGCGGCCACCCCCAATATATATATAGAGTCAGACATCACAACATTTTCTTCATTACTTTTATCAACTCTTTCAACGACACGCAACAATTGAAACAAGGTATACAATAATTCATTCATTTTCAATATTTTTCATGTTTATACATAAAAATAATTCATGAAAAAAATTTCAATTCACTCCATTTGTATTCGTTTATTTTAACTACTAAGTAATAAAAACAATAATCATATATTTTAATACATTATTATTGTATGTTCAACTTACATACGAACGTACGTTGAGAAAGTCTCGATAAACATAATATATTAATTATGAAAATGAAATTAAATTAAAAAGAATAAAGTAAACTTTTCGATGATAAATTTGAATTGAATATTATATACTTACACAAAGCTATTTATTATTTTTTTTATTTATTTTTATTTATTATTATATTGATTTATAAGATTATTAATATATTAATTTCATTATAAAAAATGTTACACGTTTTTAATGTAACCTATCTTTTATTATTTGCAAATATAAATAAACTATAAATGTATAATTATATTAAATGGAATTAACCATTTAGTCTTTATATTTTCTATATTTCGGTTTTAAATTTATGTCAAAAGCAACTTATATTTCTCGCTTTTACATGTTATACAGTTTTTTATTTAGGTGGCGAGATTTGAATTCCGCGTGAATCCCATGTCTATACCTATGGCAACTATAAGCAATGGAAACGGATCAACGATACAGATTAACACGCGTCCAGATGATATACAGAATCGTATCGTTGACGGTAAGTTCCAGTAATTCAAATTTCTATTATTTTACGTGAAAGAAAAAAAAATAATAAATTCCCTTAAAACTTAAATAATTTATATCTATATTTATCAAATTATATAATCAAATTCAGTAAAATCGAAATTCATATGGTATCGAATTAGACTATATGACATAAAATATTTCTCGAGTATAAAGAAGGTCAAATTTTTCTTTACACTCTATAATAAAGTAATATAACCACATTATCAAAGACAAGGTCATCGATTATTTCGATGCACGTGGATTCCACACGCATATACACATATCTTTATCTATATATTCATATATAATGTTCTAGACTAATTTTATCCTTAATTCTTTTCTTCAAAATATTAAAACATTGAAACAATCAATTTAATTCGTTTAATAATATAAAATATAATATAATATAAAAATAATTCAAACTCGTTATCGATACATCATGCATGTTGAAATTATTGAAAAAATGAATTACTAATAGAAACCATTTGTCATTATTAATCGTTGTGACATTCAGTACAGAGAAATAGAAAAGATCAAACGTTTTTTTTCTTTTTCCTTTTCCAAACTTTTCCAATAAACTATTGTTCATTTTTTGTATTAATTTTGTATATCATGGGTTTCAATAAATTAAAAATGAATTGTTTCGTTAATAAATCAATAGAAATAGATATCTCAAAAACAAATACGACTTGCACACGTAATGAACAATAAATGATATACAACATATGATAAATAACGAACTAAAAAATTTCTAAGAGAAATCAACGTCATGCATTATTGTACAACGTCATGTGTTACGAAAGGGAAAATCATATTTTGATATTAAAAAACTAATATTAATAGAAAAAAAATCAGAAGGAAAAAAAACTGTAAATAAAAAAAGTAGGGGTGTACGCATTTTGCGCATGTCGGAATGACTGAAAGAAGGAGAGCAGTCGACGAGAGGAAAGGAATAACAGTGACAACATTTAAACGAAAGTAAAAGTTAAATAGTGAAAAAAAAACGAGAGAAAAAAGTAGGGAAGAAAGACAACTTTCCTCTACTTTGGATGGGTGATTAAATAAATAGATAAACAATTATTAATTAAATCGTGTAAAGTAAATAATACGTTGAAGCTCAACTTTGTCCTACCACATTTCTTTCAGTAAAATAACCAATCCCTCTTATCTATCCTATTCAATGTTCAAAGATATCGGTGAAAGAGAAAGATTCGTGTAATTTTTTATATACGTTCAATTCAATCAAATCAAGTCTAATAATTGTTTCGAGATGACAAATGGTAAGCAGTATTGCAGATTAACTTGGTTCTATTCAAAATTTTTCGTACAATTCAACAAAGCTTGAAAAACATTGTTAACACATTTTCACTGCTTATATTAAGCTATATATTTTCACATAATGATGACATATCTCGTACGACCAGTCGTTCTCATTTTATGATTTATTATAACTAATGGCAAATGATTTTAAATGTCAAAATATACGTTGTCTAAATGTTTTTTAACAAGTGTTAATTTTACAAATTTTTAATAAGTTAGGTTTATATCTCAAATTTCATTTCATTTTATTTTCTTGTTACATGTACTACAAAAATTTTACATATCTACTTTTAGTTTAATCTTTTACCTATAATTTTCTAAATGTAGGTTGTACACACCCGTATCGACCTGCGTGTAAATAGACCGAAAGTATTGCATGCAGTAAAATCGATGATAACACTGAATATTTCTATAAATATGTGTATATCACTATCTATATTTTTTTTTTATTTCTGTTTAATAATGATAAATGTATATTCGAACTTAGTGATTATTGATTTTTTATTTTACATTTAATTGAGCATTTATTTCGTTGAATCAACTGTATACTGAACTTAATTATATAATATAACATTTCGTAGAATTCATATATATACGTGTAATGATCGAATATCAAAATCTTCTACTTTTAAACCGATTAAAATGATAAGAAAGAAGATAAATCGAATTTTCAATATAAATATTAATTATATATATTTAATATAAATATAGATTACTTTTTATTGATTATTTTCTAATTGTTTCAGTTGACGAAAACGTTCAAACGAACAATGATACCTGTAAAAATATTCTTGTGATACTGTCTTGGATTATCGTGATACTTACGATGCCGTTTTCATTATTCATTTGTTTCAAGGTAAAACATCGCGAAAATAAAATTTTGATTTGTCTTGACTTTAACATTTATTTGACGAATATTCGAACGGCAAAAAAATAATCAGAAAATTTTAATTAAATTAACACAACAAGGAAGAAAGAATTCTGTTCTTTTTTAAAAACTTTTTAGGTAGTACAAGAATATGAAAGAGCTGTGATATTTCGTTTAGGCCGACTTCTTTCTGGCGGTGCTAAAGGACCCGGTAAGAATACCCTTATAGATCATGATTATTACATATACATAATATGTATTTATTAATATCGAGCGAATACTATATATTTCTAGGTATCTTTTTCATCTTGCCTTGCGTGGATAATTATGCTCGAGTCGATTTACGCACACGAACATACGATGTACCACCTCAAGAGGTAAAGTCACCATATTCACACTTAGCTAATTAAATTAATGATCAACAAGAAGAGAAAAATTGATAAAAGTATTTGATTAAAATCAGGTTTTGACAAAGGATAGCGTGACAGTATCGGTTGACGCGGTAGTGTACTATCGCGTGAACAACGCAACGATTTCGATCACGAATGTTGAGAACGCTCATCACAGCACAAAACTGTTGGCTCAAACTACACTTCGTAATACGATGGGAACCAGACCGCTTCACGAAATTCTTAGTGAACGCGAAACAATTTCCGGAAATATGCAGGTAAATTGATATCAATTTGAAATCAAACAAAATACATATTCAATGTTTTATTTGAAATCGTCAGGTCTCTTTAGACGAAGCTACCGATACATGGGGTATAAAAGTGGAACGAGTCGAAATGTAAGTATATATTTTCAACGTAATAAAATTGCATCGTAAATTGCATATTTACTTATACCTATATGTGTGTGTATATGTGTGTGTGTGTGTGTACAAATATGATAAATTTTTTCCACAGAAAAGATGTACGATTGCCTGTCCAATTACAAAGAGCTATGGCTGCGGAAGCTGAAGCTGCTCGTGAAGCTCGCGCCAAGGTTCATATTTTTTTCTCTAAAAACAAACTCTTTTCAAATTAAATTCTTTGCTTTTTTTTCTCTTCTCTTCTATAATAAAATGTTAATAAATGAGATTCATAAATACGTTTACGTAAATACATGTAGGTTATCGCAGCGGAGGGTGAACAAAAAGCTAGTCGGGCATTAAGAGAAGCCTCGGAGGTAATCGGTGATTCACCTGCTGCATTACAACTTCGTTATTTGCAAGTATGTACTAACCCATTTTTTTATCGATTCAATTTTACTTGCCAATAATCTATTTCGCGGGATCGATTATTTTTGTTAATTTTTCTTTTTTTTTTTTTTTTTCTTACTTTTTTTTTTCTAGACTCTGAACACAATTTCTGCAGAGAAAAACTCAACGATTGTATTCCCATTACCTATTGATTTATTAACGTATTTCATGAGAGCCGGATTTACAAAGGATTCTTAATATCTCAATTTTAATATAACGAATAAAATCAAATGGTTATCATTCGGACAAAGTCATCCAAAATCTTCTACTTATAAGGAATGCGTATAATGTATAATTAACATAATCGGCTCAATAACATAAGAGGATCACATAAATATAATAATATATTTACTTTCACCGCAAATATTCGATTAAAAAATAAGATAAATTCCAAAAGTGATAACAACCAATCGTAAGTATATAATATATATACATATATATGTGTAAGTATTGACTCAATCCTTTTTTTATCAATAATAGCAAAACGGTTTATACCTTATCATTATATCATTATATACAAAATAATTTATCGATAAATTTTGTAACATAGAATATATATTACATATTATATATATATATGTATATGTAAATATATATGTAAATTAAATATATATTGAAACTTTTATTAATTTACAATTCAACAACAAATATGATAAATTAATTAAACATATCGATTTATTGATAACTTGCAATCAAAATAGTAAAGAAACGTTAAATTCTACTATAATAATTGATTATATATTTTTGCCATTCAATCGAATCAAAATAAGAATGAACTTTTCTATAAAATTTGGACTTATAATTATCATGTATTGGATAAATATATTTACTAATCGAATATATCTATTAATCTTGACATATGTAGTAGATATTTATGATTGGTACATTAATTCCAAATATGTGGAAAAATAATATATGTATATAAATTTTTATTACAGACGAATTGATATAATCTTAGATTGAAAAAAATTTATTCGTCTTTGTTTCATATTGATATTAAATAATATTTTATACAAAAAATTCTAAAAAGAATAAAAATATATTCAAAATATAATTATTATTTCATTGAACGAAAGTACAAAAAAATATTTACAAAAAGATATTTATTTCATATTCGTGATATAATGTACACAATTTTAATTTAGTATGTAAAGTAAATGATATACACGTATAAATATAATATATGCTCAATTATATATGTATAATACTTATGTATTTGTTACTGATATAAAGGACTGTTCACTATTGAAGTAATTGATTAATATAATTATATATACTTACACATATATATATACGTACATATAAGTACGTAAATAATGTATGAATGTTATTTGTATATTTTTTCCGGCCTGTAATGATATTTGGTCTAGTATAAGCAATTCTTCCCGATAAATAACATATTGTGTATAACATTATGTGAAAATAACATTCCATTATTATATTTATCATTTAAAAAACAAAAAAAAAAAATTAACACAATTTAAATTTAACGCGAATATGTAATATTCAACAATATAGTATATAAAATATAAACTTCCATTTCCATTCATCGTTGGAAAAAATTGGATAAAAATGATAATTAATCAAAATTTTCTTGTCAAAAAAAAAAGTTTATTTTACTTATTTATATAATAACTTGATATATATGATTAATTGAGATTCAGAACTTACTAAAATTTTGATCGTATTTGAGATTCAAGATTTTAATCTACCTCTTTCTTACGTACAAATTTCTATCTCTAATTGTTATACTATATTACTTTAATGTATTTGATGTATTTAATATATTTTTATCGTATTTGTAAGGCGATTCGTTCGAACACTATGCTCGGAAACAATCTAAAAATATATTTGAAAAGTGACAATTACAATTTTTTTTATTGATGTTAATATTTTTTATTTTGAATAATTTGTTTCACTTCATTAATATGTAAAAAATGTTAAATGGCAATTAGATAAAGCAAAATGTTAATTTCAACGATTTTATACACATCAAATTGTTAACACCAATAAAGAATTTATTACTTTATTTTACAATTAATGTATGCAAATAAAAATTCAAAAATTCTGCATTTTATTACGATAATTATTTGTCTCTTACCATTTTTATGTTGCGATTATAATAAGAAACCAATTATCTTAATTTTGTCGTACAAGGTTGTTGTATATAATTCAAACAAAATCCTTTGTTTCCCACATCATTTGGCGCTTCAACACTATCCGTATGAAAAATTAATCTAAAAGGTTTCACGGTACCTGATAAAAAAAAAAATATTTGTGTTCGCGCGAAAAGGTATTATTTTTATTAATTAATTCATTTTAAAGATTTGAAAAACAAAATACAAAGAAAAATATCGGACAAAAAAATAAAAATAAATATATATTTACTAATGATAGAAGAAGCGTTCAAATTTTGATTTTCCGCATTAAATGTTCCACCGCATATTCGATCGATACAAGTCATCATATTGGTTGGTAATCTACCAGTATTGAATGCACATGGAACTGTTAACCAATCGGTTTGACAGATTGTTCCTGTCATTGATGCTATCTGTGTTGCTTGCGTATTTCCCGTTAATGTAAATGCGTTAGAACGCATTGTTTGTATCGTAGGAGTTCCATTGTTGGACATCGTTGCTTCATCGCGAAATAGTGAAATATTAACAAAATTTTAAATTAAAATATAATGTCTTTCACATAAATATATGTTTTTAAATTACAAATATAACATCTTTCACATATACACTTATATATATATATATGTATATGTGTATAAAAAACATGTTATATTTTTAACATATATATATTCATTTTTCTTTATCTTCTTCTTTATCTATATACCTTCTTTATCATCAACTGGACATATCATATACTGAATACCGCAAAAGTTTCTTTCCATACGAATGCAAATACTATAATCTTGATTTGACAATTGCAATCCAGTGATAGGATCGTAATTAAATGATTTTATTTGTCCAGATATTCCTGTGAAATATTGCAAACATCCTTCCTCGGCTCTGTATATAGTATTGCAACGGATTTGAGATATTTGTATTTTCCAGGATCGAGCGAAAGATTGTCCACTTGTAATAAAAGTTAATGTAACGGGATTCGTTTGTCCAAGACCAGCATCAATATATACTATATATAAATAATATATAAAAATAATGTTTATTGCACAGATATAACAATATAAAGTTTATAATAACAAAACAGTGTTACATACAATGATTTTCAGCGTTATTTCCACATATAGTAGGTATCGGATTGCCCCCGGAAACGATAAATTGATCGTAAATACATTGGTGATTAGTTGTTTCCGGACCTCTTATATTAAAGTGCATAAAATCCAATCTATAAAAGAAAATTCTCTGTAAATTGAATTTCATTAATAAAATATTATATTCGAGATGAAAATAGTTTAGTAGCCCACCTAAATTGACATACGGTTGGATGCGATTTAACGAGCGTTAATTGACAAGACGTAGTACCGTCGAACGTCGATGGATAATTCGGATTAACAAAATAAGTGTTATTGTTATTAGTTATGTCGCCACAAGATACGGTCACTGATCAAATTTATAAAAAAGAAAAAAAATAAAATGAAGAAAATATTTAAAAATATTTAAATAATAAAGAGAAACTATAACATACCAATACAACAAATTCCGTAACCATTTGCACAAATTCCACTAGATATACCACCACGTTGCGAACATTCCGTTGCTGCTATGCAAGTACCATTTTCACCATTTAATCCGACACACACGTTATTATTAAATTTTATCAAAGTGAATAAAGGAAAAACTAGATGCACAAATAAAATTATTTTATTAAACTTAATATATATATATATTATTAAGAAAAAATAAATTTTAAGCTTACGTCGTTTTTCTCTACCACCATGATTCGATATGATATTTTGGACATTCAGTGATTGTAATTTATTTTTTTGAAAATTAAATGGTAATGATTCATTTTCATAATTATTGATTGTTCGCCAAAAATGTCGAAATCTCTTAAGAGGACTCCATGAGTCAATATTTATACATGTTACAACAGAATATAATAATAATATAATTATATAGTATCTATACATTATTGCACAAATATATATAATATATTTATATATAATGTAATATAAAATTTTATTTTATTGTACAATAGTAATTATAGAAAATATATAAATAGCAATTATAAAAAAAGAGATGAAACGAAAAAATGAAATGAAGTGATAAATTATTCAAAGAAAAATCTGTTTATTTGATGAAGAATGCACTTTAACTAACGAACGCAGAAGGCTTGAAAACTGATATATCTAAGAACATGTATTCCACGGTCTAAATATTATGCGATTTAATTAAAACAAAAAAAAAAAGAGGTTAAAATTATTTTCTTCCGTTAAACGTTAATCTGTAAACAAATTAAGAGAAAGTCAAAAATGAAACGAACGACAAATCTCTAACATCTGCTTATTGTATTTATCCCTTGAATCGAAACAAAATCTTTACTTTCACAACAATAATTAAACAAATTTAGATCTTCTTTTTTTCACGATAAGTACTTATTTGAAATGTCTATTGTCATTCTAATCTTTAAATATGATACAGTAAATTTGAGAAAGCATCTTTTCTTAAATTTTTTATAATACAATGGTCTAATAAATAATAAGCAAAAAAATAAATTTTCTATAATAAGTTTTGAAGTAATTATTTCTATAATTGATAACATAATTAAATCTATAATATTTTAGTTTTTGCAGCATATTTCACATCAAATTATTCGAGAATTTATATTGTTTCTTTTTTTTTTTTTCTATGTTTATTTTCGTTTCTTATAAAAACATTGTTCATATCGTGATAGATTCCATGGCTAAGTATCATCAATATCATCAATGAGATTTAGAAAATTTAAAACTTATGTTAGATTTAACTATGTTAATCTAATTACCTTTCCATTAAAATTAAAATATATGTACTTTATTTTATACATAAAAAAGATAATTTTATACGATTTTCCATTAAAATATTTGGGAAATATTTGCATATAGGATCAATATAAAATTGATTGAATTGATGATAAAAATAGAGAAATTATTAATATTTGTTAAAAATTTGTTATTTCTTTTATATCCTTTTTCAAACAGTTTTATTTTTATCAATAATTGGAATTAATTTGTCTGAAAAATATTTTATAAACATGTAATAAAATTGAAAATTTTTTATTTGATAAACTTTTTTACATTAATTATTATATTATAATATTGATAATTTAATTTCTTGAAATTTTTTTTGAAGTATTGTCTAAATATTTTTCGAATAAAAAGATAATTTAAAAAATATTAATTATTATTTTATAATTTCGTTAAAAATAAATACCTTGATTATATAATAATTAATAATTAATCATATTAAGTTAATAATTCGTTTTTTAAAAATAGGCATTTGCTTTAATATTTTATTTATAGGATTAGGTTAAACATAATTAATAACATATTCAAAAAATTAATTTCATTTTCATATTATCATTCGTATTCTAATTTTGTTTTGTTTTTATAACATGAAAATTATCGTGATAAATTAAGTACAAAATATATTTATTACAATTTTTTAATCAAATCTTTAAAATATATCAAATACAATTTAAACCAAGCGCTCATCGTATATAAAGATGGCACTCAATATCAAAGTATAATATAATCTATGCAAAAAAGTAATAAAAATTCTATTGCAAGTTGTGAAAAAATAATAATAGTATAAGTATTCACCATTTGACTTGTTTTACGATACTTGTAATTTTGATTTAATCGTGAATAACATAGAAACGTCGAGTAAACTCGAACTTGTCTGATCGCGAGTAATCGCAGGCAAAAAGCTGTGGCGCTGTGTTGAGCGTGCGCTGACGCCATAGTGTATGCGAGAGGCGAGAACAGCCGAAATGGAGGAGAGTCAAACATCGGAAAGTGTCGCCGTGCTACCGGACATGTCCGAACCGTTGACGAGCGAAACCGAGGAGGCGTCTGCCCTAACGACCGAGCACAAGGCGCATCCCGTTACCGTGACGGCAAGCGTCACTCCAGTACCGGGTGTTCCTGGTGTTCCAGGAGTTGGTGTACCGGTTTCTTTGCCTGTTGGTTCTATCATTGGTGTAGCAAATTCATCCAACGGCACGACCTTCAACGTCATCACATCAGACCAACTGCAGGTTGGTTGCTGAAACAACGAAATGTTTATTAAAAAAACTTTTCTTTAATAAAGTTGTAATATAGAATTTTCTGACGGTTTATTAATTTTCTCATTAAAAAATTATTGAAAAACAAGGTGGGGTTTTGCTCTTTATATACACATATAAGCTATAACTATATGTATACAATGTACACAACATTAACACATTAAGTGCACTTGAAGTGCGCCTGTCCATATATTGTATAAAAGATATTAAATACGTTTAAATAATTTTCCTATAATTATACTTCTTTCTATAATTATGTTTCTTTTTATAATTTGTTATATTTTATTTTGGTAACTTTATTATTTCATTTTTTCTAGCTGCCTGGTTCAGGACAATTTAAACAGATGCTATGTGTGGATAATGGTTTCATTTGTGAACCACGGCATGATAAAGATACAGACTCCTTACGATGGAATGGAGAATTAAAAGCAACACACATAGTAATTCAAAATAGTACAGAAGAACCTGAATCAGAACAAATCCATGTATCTACTGCTAGTACTCAACCAATATGCAGTTGGTCAGAATCAGCTAATTTAGCAGTATTACCTGTTAGATGTAAAAATACAAATGCAGAATTACATAAAAGTAGATTTGGATCTGGAGGAAGAGGAAGATGTATCAAACTTGGACAAGACTGGTATACACCGAGTGAATTTGAAGCACTTTGTGGTAGAGCATCCAGTAAAGATTGGAAACGCAGTATTCGATTTGGTGGTAGAAGTTTACAAACATTAATTGATGAACAAATTTTAAAGCCACATGCTACTTCTTGTACTTGTGCGGCATGTTGCGATGATGACAGTGCAGTTAGTATATTATGTACTGTTTTATAATAAATAATTACAATTCATCTATTAATATTCTGTAATTTCATATTTCAGACAGGTCCTGTAAGATTATTCACACCATATAAGCGTAGAAGAAGGGCAAGAGATACATCTGATAGTGAAACACCATCGCGTAAACTTAAAAGCGATAATTCACGCGATGGGAGTAATAATGACGAAAGTGATGGCGAAATTGTAGTACCTGATAAAGAAGTATGGCCTCAGTTTGTTTCAACAGATGGTTTAGTTGTTCAACAACCACAAGATCAAGATACTGTTGTTCAAAATGTACATCAAGCAGAAAATGGACAATGCGACGATGTATTTAAAAAGCTTGACGAGATGTCCAATAAAATGTTAAAGTTAGCTTATGAATTTAGGCGTACCTTGGAAGAGGCTAAGGAAGTAAGTAGACAACAAAGAAGAGAACAAGCATTAGTGGCACAATTAGGAGGTAGAGGAGATGTTATTGAAACTGTTGGTTTGCAACCAGCATCGGATACTCATAATAAAAAGGTAAAAAGAATTGATAAATTTTTTTTTATCTGAATATTTTATCTGAACTTACCTTTTTTTTCATAATATTTATTTACTTTTAGTGTGCAAACTGTAATAGAGAAGCATTTGCAGAATGTTCCTTATGCAGACGAACGCCTTATTGCTCTACATTTTGTCAACGCAAAGATTGGGCAGGTCATCAAGTAGAATGTGTAAGAGGAGCTGCAGAAACTGTAATGCTTATAGTTGAAAGTAGTAGTGGAGATACTAGTGCTCTTGCTACGACTGCTGGGGACCAATAGCTAGTGTTTCTTACACCTATTCACCAAAGGAATATAGAAATTGAACAAACTAACATAGAAAGTTCAAAATTGAAAAAAGAGATGAAGACTTAAAAAAAATTTCTTTAATGACCACCAAGTCAAAAACTTCTGTATATATAGTAGTAAATATTTTGTATGTATAC